GTCCAGATCGTATGCGATTTCATTACTCTTCTGAATCAATAACTAAATCCCCTGTTTGAAAAACTAACAGGCAGACTAGTAAATTTGATTGCCCGTTTTTCTTTTTTCTACCGAATCAATATACGAAATACTTTTTTCTCATTGAATATATACAATCTGTATTTTCAAAGTTTGAAGTATGAAGTATGTGTTGTGTTAATACACAATGTCGCTTTTAAAATTTCCATTTACAACTCCGATTGTGAGGGTAAAATCGCCCCAACGAGGCCAAAATAAATCCCTAATGCTCTGATTGCTGTTATCTCATGCCTGATTTAAATACGAACATTATTTCATGCCCAATTTAAAACAAGAGTTGAAACAAGAAAAAAAAAAGAGTTACGATATCATCTTTATCCCATGTTACTTATTAATTAATTTTCAAAAGATTTAACTACTATGACTCTTTTCCTCTTTATGCTTCATAATTCACATTAAGTTTAAAATTCTTTTATTAAAATGAATTTTGAATCTCTATATAGACATGTCAATTAGGTTGGGCGGCCTAAGACCCTAATTGTAGCATGGTGAGCCTTATGCAGTCTGAGCTGAATTAAGTATGGACCAAAATATTTTGCTGAACTCAACCCACATAACACTTGGCCCGAACACTATGGGCCTATTTGGCAAATAAGTTTTTGATCAAGTTTATTTTTTTAAAATAATTTTAACTACAGTAATCTCAAAAAATTTAGAAATTTTTAACCTACATGCTTTAAAATACCCAAAACACACAAATTTTTTTTTCTATTTTCTTTCTCTTCTTCCACCCCAACCCACCACCACCTTTGGCGCCGGAACCTCTTTCGGCACCGGCCATCTCTTTTTTATCTTTTTTTTTCTTTTTTCTCTCCCATCTCTCCCTCGACCAGATTGTACAACGGAGGAGAGGAAGGGTGGCGAGGGAGAGGTGGTGGGGAGGAGAGGGGGAGAGAGAAAAGGCAAAATAGAAAAATTTCTGTTGTTGCTTCATCCAGCAGAGGAAAGGGAGAGATGGCGGGGGAGGGAAGGGTGAAGGGGAAGAGGAGGGGGGAGAGGGAGAAGAGGGATGGCGGGGAGGAGAGGGGGAGAGAGAAAAAACAAAAAAGAATTCTATGGCTACTTCATCCGGTAGTGAGAGAGAGAGGTGGCAAGGGAGGGAAGGAGGAGGGGGAAGGGAGAAGAAGAAGAGAGGAAAGAAAAGAAAAAAGAAAGAAAAAAAAGTTTTTCATCTTACAAAATTTTTCTACAACTTCTACAGATATATAGTAAAGTTTTAAACAACCACACAAAAATCTCAAGGCCTGTTCGGCAAATAGGTTTTTACCCAAGTTTGTCTCCTACGAGTTTTATACCAACTTTAACTACAGTAATTTCAAAAAATTTCTCAAAATTTTTTACCTACACACTTCAAAATACCCAAAACACACTTCAAAATACCTATGCCAACATATACCTGAGAATATGGAATTTTATTGTAGAGATGTGACCGTTTGAATTGCAAGTTTTTTGAATTTTTGTAAAAAAATATATTATAGAGATGTGATATATATGAAATAAAAAAATGATTGAAAATGTATTTGAGAAAATTTTTATGTGAAAACTTGCAATCCAAATAAGGGTATCTCAAATCACAAATAATTTCCCAGTCTTCACCTGCAATATTTGAGCTTGATTAAAAGGTGACGTATGTAGTCTCGCATTATTCTTGCTAATGCTCAAATAAGAACTTTGGTAATTTTGCTTAAAAAAATAAGAAAGAAGGAAAGGAAAAAAAAAACAATCTTATGATCATCAACATTTTTATTCGACTCAAGAACCATAGTACCATCGCAATAATCCATCTAAAATGAGACACTTTACCTCGAAAAACACTTAAGTAATATCGTTAACAAAGGTGAGAATTTTTTTATATTTAAATGGGATAAATTTTATATTTTATGAATTAAAGTGGGGAAGATTTTATTTTTTAGGGATTAAAGTAAATGGACCACTTTAGTCCCTAAAATGTAAGATCCCCCCCCCTCCCCCCAAGTAAAATGGTTGATAGAAGTAGCACAAATTTTATGCTTAGTGAAATAAATTTTATCCTTTAGGAATTAAAGCAAGATAGATTTTATACTTAAGGGATTCAAGTGCCCCAATTTAAGGTTTAGAAATCAAAGTAAAAATTCAGGTATTGAAGGGTGGAAAGTGAAATTAACCCAGAATTACATGTGATGAGTAAACTAAAAAAGTTTAAATAACTCTTCAATGACCTACAACTCTTTTTTTTTTTTATAATATGACCCACAACTAATTAAAGTACTATACTTTTTGGGAAAAAAAAATCTCATTAAGCGGACTACTAGATTGAGAATTTTTATATATGAATTAGTGGGGCCAAAAACTCGCATTGAAATTGCTTTCAACTAACTCACTGTGTTTGCTACCATGTCTTGTATGTGAAAACTGAAGGTACCTGCTTTTCTCCTTCTATCATGATCAACGAGCCACCAAATGAACAATAAAATTAAGCTCGTGTTACACGAGATCATTTTTGTAACACTTTTAATCATCTGCGTGCATGTGGTGTATTGGAGCGCAGGCAGCAATAATTGTCAGATCAATCATTCATAAATAAATAATATAATATTTTTTAAACATTTTGTAACTCTAAATAAGTTATTTATATATTTTTGGACAAATTATCCAATTGGCTCTTGAACTCTTTGTCTAGGTAAAAATAAGCTCCTCATCTATTTTTTGCTGACTTTAAGCCCTCGAACTTGTAAAATTGGGTACCCGTGGCCCTTTTAGCCAGTTTCTCTGGTTTTGCAACCGGAAGGCCAATTCACACGAATGCCAGTGTGCTTCTTCAAAGGGTATTTTTGTCCGCATCTTCTAAGTAAAAAGGGAACAACTCCATTATCATTTATCAACGGATTTAGCTTTGTTGTATTGGGATCGCCAGTTTTAATTGCTTCATCAAAACAAATATGAACTCTTCCAACGTCTTTAATTTTTTAACTTTCTTTTTTGAAAAAAAAAACACTATCAATTGTAAGTTAGATCTCATCTGGGCTCATCAACATGAGCAAGTTAAAAATAACAATTGAAAGGATCTCATTGAGGTCCACAAATCCACCAACAACTGAAAAATTTTTTGCCTAGAGATTTTTATGAACTTAATTTTACTTTTCATTCTGTTTAGTGAATTCCTTTGCTAGAGTTGTCTAGATATAAACAAGACAAATGGAATTTAATTACTGCCTTAAACGTTCTTTACTCTTAATATGTCATCACACATTTTTTACTCTTAATATTTTTATTTTATTAATTTTTTACTCTTAATATTTTTTTTTACCTTTTTTCCTTTGGTCTGGCAAAACAAGTTCATCCTATTTGTTTTAAGCAAACAGGGACTGGCCGCCTGTGGCTGGACTTTAGATTGAGTCTGGCTCTCTCTCTATATATTTCAGGAGGGCTCTATGCATATGTGAGGAGGGACTGTAAACCGTTGAGATAGCTAAGGAGCCTTGAAAGCAGGGCAGTTACAATATCTGTTCTCCTTAGCCTAATTCTCTACTTCTTCCAAGAACCAAAAATCACTCTATCAAAAAAGGTTCATGGCTCGTCAAATGTACAACTTCTTCCCAACTGATTTCTTCTTTCCTCCTCCTCAAAAGACAGTTGCTAGAGATCATAGCAATCTTATGGTCAAAACCCTTACAAATAACCATGAAACTGAGGAGATTGCTCAAGTCAAACAGCTCAAGACCATTGTATCAAGTAATCCCTCATCATCGTTGGCCTTGGTTCCAATTGGCAAGAAAAAACCAGATACACCCGAGTAAGCCAGTCTCCGGATGAAACTAGTAGTGGATTTGCAGGAGTTATTGTCAAAGATCTTCCATAATATTCTAATTATATATATAAACTGTTTAAATTTCCTTATGTTGTCATTTTTTTCTTTTGCTTTTGATCCTCGTACTCCTCCTCACAGCCTTCCTATCCCTAACTGTCAGATAAATGATGTGAATCTTAAACTCGACTATGGGGAAGGCTCTAAGGCTCATTCTATTATCTTTCTTCTAGTTTGGTTGTAATTAAATGTGTATCGAATAAAGTTACGTCCGAACTTCCTGTTCCTCCTCTTTCCCCCTCTCCACCAAAAAAAAAAAAGGGAATAAAGTTGTAGCATTTCATGAGTAGTTATGGTTACAATTGATCAATTCTCGTTTGAGCAAATCTTTAAATTGATTAGGTGTACCAAGCTTACTAGGTAATTCTTGTGCATGGTTGCAAGAGATCTGAAAGTATTAGGATGCCCTTCACTTCGAAAACAAAAGGCTAGTCAAACAACCTTTTAAACTTAAAGCATTCCATTACAAGGCTAGCAAATTCATCAAAATTGCTAGAACATAATCGAGTCCACTAAATTGCACCCGTCATACTGGTCCTACGCTTAGCAATTGGCATTAAGCGCAACCAAAGTTCAGAATATAATTAATGGAGGTTGAGGGTAAGGTACGCATTAACTGTTTTTTTGTTTCAACAATCTTTTTTTTTTTTTTTTGTTAAAACCATTTAGCAGTTGTCTCTAGATTTGCACTTCTGTGTGTGTGTGTGTGTGTGTTTTTTTTTTTTTTTCCTTTTTCCTAAGGCTAGATTTGCACTTCTGTTAAATTGGGTGAATTCCTTTTATCCGTATAGTACAACATTTTGATCAATAGAGAAGCTAGCCATTTGAGGGAATGGAGCGTTAGATATGCTTTTTTGGATACACTTTCAGTTTTTTTTTTTTTAATCTGGCATCTAATATTACCCAAAAAAAAAATAAAGTCATTTTCGGTAAAAATACCCTGAAATCATCAAAACAGCTAATAACACTAATTAATTAAGTTGCTAATAGTATTGTGTTACAGTAATACGTAGCAGAAAACCAAATGAATCTTTGTCATGCTGTGCTAATCTATCTATGACTTTTCTTCCTAACCGAGTGAAGCCAATTAAGGGTAATATCTATTCACACGCAACGCAAGTTATTTTTATTAGTCTACAAATGTATCGTTGCTGACAAAAAAAAAAAACCTTATTCAAAGATGTACAACAATTATGCAGCTACTATATTGGTCCAAACAAAAGTGAACATATTCGAGCATTAGTACGTTGAAACTTTTCTCTACTGAGAGTGACACATAAAGCTTAGTAAGTGGCAGTTATAACAAAGCCCTGAAAATTCAAGGGCATTTTGGCCCTCCTCTTTTGGTCTTCCAGTTGTTGTAGCAAGGGCAGAACTGTTTGTTCCCATAAGTGCCTGGGGGCACACACAAGCACTTTGCACAACATTTCTGGCAGAAAAACATGCATGGCTTCTTGAATGCTGTTTTTGAACATCTGTATGTACACCTTGGAGAACACTCTGCAAACCAAATGAATAATTCATGTAGTCAGGTTTCAGTGGTACTCGTTAATACACCTAAAACACATTCAATTTATCATATAAATGCGTTCATTGACAATTATTGCCGTTCCTTTCATTTATACATTTTTTCAATTAAACCCTTGTTTTTTAATAAATACTTAAACTCCAAAGTTCATTGGACACTTGTTAATACATATGCTACTATGCTTTTTTTTTTCCTTCTTTTTTGGGAGGTGGGATTTAGCAATGCTTTTTTTTTTGCTCCATTTCCTGCTTTTTGCCTGTTTGGTTTATGGATGTCACGAGTTATACTAAAAAGTGAAAATTTAGCCTCCAAGTGGCACATTCTCCGAGGATAAATTGGTGCAGGAAAGTGCATGTTTCCTAGCCTTTTCATAAACTTTTCAACTAACATGCATGTCACTGTTCTAACCTTGAGGATGAAGACTGCCAGGAGTTATACCATGCTGGTCACACAAATAACAAGATTGAAACAAGATTAGAAACATGATAAAGAGAGGCAATTTCAAAATTGTGGTTGAGATTTTCTTAATTAATGTGTCTCACTGTTGGTAAGAGGCCTGAAGGCTGCGGTTGAGGACTTGGAGATGGAGACTCTGTAATCATCCCCTGCAGTCAAATTGAACATCAGCAGCATGTCTAAATTTACATCTACATTTTAACTTGAAACCAATCTGAAGCATGAAATTTGCATGCAATGCTATTGTTCCTATTCAAGTGCGGGATTCCAAGTCTAATGCTTGGACATGCATTTCATCTAATGTAGCGGTATAGCTCAAAGGGATGTGCAGAGACATAGGAATGAAGAGAATTCTTGCTTACATGGTTTCTTGATATCAGTAGGAACAGCATTAAAACATGAATAGTTACATTACTGCTAAGATTCTTCGCCATTGCTTCTCATACAGAGTGGAGAAGAAACTTAGCCACCTTATCTATATACGAGAGAAAGGAAGAGAGAATTGTGTTGAAAGTGATCAGTTGATGTAAAGAATGTGAATGGAGTGTACATATATATACACTGAAAAGTTTGGAGACCTTCACATACTACTGCTAGTTTGTTTCACGGATTGCCTGTGCAATAAATTTCTGATTTTACCAGTATAGTAATAAACAAATCCCTTTGTTCATATAATCCAAAATGACATTCAAATATGTGGAGCAACTTTGTCGCAAATAAGACAACCTCCAATTCTCCAAAATCCCAATAAAATCAATATTAGATTCATTTCCTTTAGCTATCAAGAACAATCATTGATATGGAATCACAGAGTCGAACTGAATCTGTGAATGCATCATTAAGTTGGAAGGCCGAACTTGACTAACTCGACCTGACACATATTAAGGATCCAACTGGTAAGTTAATGACCTTAACTCAATAAGAAGGCTAAAATGTTAAAAGTCATTAAAAAAAAAAAAAGTAGAAGTATATATAACCTAAAATACTAACAAAATGGCTTTGTGAGCAATGATCATTATTTAGGACAAACCTAATCTTTTTATTCAGCACAAGCAAAGGTGGTAATCTATTCATACTTGGCTTATATTCTGCCACATGTCTCGTCCTCATCTCGGAAATGATCAAAAAGCCTTTCACGATGTGAGCAATTGTTCCTGCAACATCAAATCTATATTGGATAAAAAATAGTGTATAAACCTCGATATTTCGTGCAAACAAATAGCAGCAAAATAATTCATTATTCATAATTTCATCCTTAACTAATCAAACAAAAGTTAAACATGTTTGGACAGTCATTCATTCTTTATCTTGCAGGTTTAAGTTCACATAATACATAGAAGGTAAATAACAAAATCAACTTCCAGAGCTACAGGAGGGGGGAACAAAGTGTTTACTGCAGACCATACAATTTAAAACCGGGAGTAGTTCAGAGAGTAACACATGCAATCCTAAGGCTACCATCCAAAGTTCCATAAGTCTCTGATCATCCATGTGAAACCAGGCTTGACAACGATACGAGGCTCTTCACATGTGGATTCACATGTGGATTCTATTATGATTTGGAGGTTTTCTCGAGATAGAACTATACCAGAACTTGCCATGTATACAACACAGACTCAAGTGGCTAACTTTGTCTTCATACACAGGTGGACAACTGTAACATACCTTTCAATCTATATGATCCTCTTCTCGTGAACCATTTATACCTTTTCTTTGGCACTTTGATGTGTGATGTGTAACTGTTATCTTCTTGCAACATTGGAAATCATGTAAGACCCAAATTCAGACAAGAAAGATAAGAGGAAACTGTACGTCTTGTGAGCCATTAGAAGTTAGAACAGGTGGACATGATTGTTTCCTTCAGCAACTTAATTATATGGTCCAAGTAAAGGGTTATAAGGTTAGAACCTAGACCGTTAATTGATGTCTTACCATCTCAGAGCTCCAAATTAACCAAATTAAGCCGAATCAAAATAGTCTAGATTGCAATTTTTTCCTTTCTAGGCAAAGTTTTGTAGTGTCTGACATCATAATTTTAGTCCCTAGGATGTAAAATGTGCCTTGATTTCAAGTGTCAAGTTTTGCAGTGTCTAACAAGGCCTTAGTCAAGTGCCAAGGTTGAAGCTCCAATTTTTAAAGGTTCTGGTTCATATTTCACAGGCAGTAAGTTTCTTCTGATTTTGTCCAACAAGGATTTGTTGTAATTTATACGATTAATAATTTATTGTATTGATTCCATAATTGTGGGTTGTATTATGTATGTAATCACAGAGCATAATTAGTGCCTATTTGGGATTGTGACGACTTATCCAATAGCACTTCATTTAGTATAGCTTTCGATAAAAGTATCTATTAAATATGGGAAAAATGCGCTTTTCATCCCTATTGTTTGGGATGTTGGACAATTTCATCTCTAAAGTTTCATGCAAACACATTTCATCCTCATAGATTCATAAATTTAACTAATTAAGAACAATTGATGAATTGTCAAGCAATTTGAATGGAACATGATCACTTGACCATAGCATGCCTGTTTGTAAAATACAAAAATATTGGATCAACAAAAACCTCAAGTATCGTTTTTAATTCACTTTCTTATTTTACAAAAAAAGTAAGAAATTTTCAACCACCATTACTCTCGTCTTAATCATAGATTGAACAAAAAGATCGAGAGGAAACAAAGTTGTGGAGAAGAAACAACCCCATTGTAGCCAATTGGAGAAAATTTTCAAACAATCTCATCGCAACAAATTAGAGAAAAATATTAACGTGAAAGAAAGAATTGTTTAGATTGTTATTTATTTGCAAAATTTTGTTTTGTTACATCCTATACATGTTTTTCAAATTGTCTATCTATCATCCAAATCTATTTTTTTTCTCACATATATCATATCACAAATTAAAAAAAAAATTCTTATTTGAACACACTCATTATTATTTATGTAATTTAATCAATGATCGAATTAAGTATTAACAATGTAATTATTAAATGGACGTGCTAGTCATTTGATGATATTCGATCCAAATTGGTTAGCAATCATTCAATTATCCTCACTTGTTAAAATTTATGAAACTACGAGGATGAAATGTGTTTGCATGAAACATTAGGGATGAAATTGGTCGAAATTACAAGACTATGAGGATGAAGTATATTTTGACTGAAACTTTGAGGACTAAATTGTCCAACACCCCAAACATTGGGGATGAAATTTGCATTTTCCCTATTAAATATTTAATAAAATGTGCATAAGTGTTTTTGAATTTTTGAAATGTAATTAATTATCTCTTTAGTTAGTTCAAATTTAAGATGAAATTATCAAAGTCTATTTTTATTTTTTGAAACATATAAAAGCACTAACTTTTAGCTTTTGCCAAAAGAGCTTTTCAATCCTAAAGCTATGCTCCTAAAATTATTGAATAATGTCTACCAAACACTCAAAAGTATTTCTGTCATCCAAAAGTACCTTTTTAACAAGAGCACGGGAATCCCAAATAGGCTCTCAATTTCTTATTTTTCTAAAGTTTGTCAATGCAAAAAAGATTGAAATTTAAATAGCCGATTACTCATGATTGAACTCAAACTTGGTTCATGCCTAAGGGCAATCATTTCTCTTTTCTTAAAGGATGATTCCATTGTCATCAACTCATCATCTCCGTTGGCGCCCCACTCTTTTTTCTTTTTATTTTCTCTATTATTTGAAACGAAAATCTCTCTTTGCTACCTGTACGTTAAATCTCGCATTTTCCTAGTTTTCTTAGTTTTCTTTCTCCCTAGCTATTTTATCCCAAAACTCATAAACCAAGAAAATCTCTCAAAATTCCTTCATGAGTGAAATTCAACTTAAATTTCAGTTGCATGACATAATAGACGGGGGATTCTAAAAGAGAAAGTTGCACCATCACAAAGGAAAATGAGCGCTTTGTCAAATTGGAATTTACCAGTTAGCTTGAATTGAAGCCTGCTTCATGAGTAGAATAATTAATAATTCGTTGAGTTGGGCCGTTAAAGAATCTCTTCAGAAAGGAATCTTAGCTTAACTAGTTGTCGAAATGGGTTTGTTCGGCAAATAAGTTTTTGGCCCAGTTTATCTGCTACAAGTTTTTTTAATAATTTTAATTACAGTAATCTCAAAAAACTTTTCAAAATTTTTAAATTATATATTTCAAAATATCCAAAAATTTACACACTTAAAAATTTTTCCTACAACTTTTACAATAGATTACAGTAAAGTTTTAGACAAATACCCAAAAAACTCATTTGTCAAATGGAGCCATAGTTTCTGAAGTTGAAGATTATATCAACATTAAGAATTAGGGAATCCATACGTGTGCGTTGGATTAGAGATCTGATTTATTATGATTACACCTAAGAGATATTTGTGTAAGTTAGTTGTATTATTGAAAATTTAATTTTAATGAGGATTTTAGGACTTTTTAAACGTGTAACTTTTATAGTTTTAGTTCTTACACAAATCCAGTTTCTTGCATTTGTCAATATTGTCCACGGGGAAAAAAATCGAAATCTAATTAGCCAATTACTCATTATTGAACTCAAAATTGGTCAAGGGTCTCATCTTAAACGAATATTCAATTGTCATCATCTCCCTTGACGCCCTACTGTATTTGTTCTACCTCTACAATAAATCTTACGTTTCCCTACTTTTCTTTTAGGATTAACTTTTTACGGACTTAAAGTGCAGTGATTTTTATACACTAGCAGTTATAGATATATGTTACATGTACATGATTTGAATTTCAAATTTGAATTCAAATTATGTAACATGATTTAAAAATATTATACATTGCCAGTGTATAAAAAAATTACTTGTTTTTAACCTAACTTTTTTAGGATAAATTTTATATGCATTGGCGATAACTGTACTAGCAGGTCAAAATGCATATCAGATGTGCAAATTTTAAAATTCAACTCCAAATTAAGATGGTGTTGGTATATGCTTTAGGACCGTTGATGTATATACTATCAGTGTATATAAAATTAATCATTTTTTTTCCACAAAACTCTTAAACAAAGAAAAACACTCCAAATTCCTTCAAGAGACACTCCTTTATTTTATTCGAATATCTAGTTATAATTCAGCTCAAATTTCAGAATAAGTTGCACTATCACAATAAATAGAGGCAGGTGCTTTGTCAAATTGGAACTTTCAAGACAGCTTAAATCCTGCGTCACATGGTTGAATGAATTCGTGAGTTGGGCCTCAGACTGCACTCGACACTTCCAGTCCAAGTGACACTACTAAGTATAGCTGGGCTTTTATCATTTAACACACATCAAAATGCTAACTCTTAAACTAGTTAAAATTCTTTAGTGCCTTCCCTGAGCAGTTTGCTAATTTAAATTGGCCCATTTTGTGACAGTCAACCCAAACAAACATTGCGCATGATTTGGTTTGGGATTAGCCTGAAGGGCACAAGTGCGTTTAGATTGAATTACTTGAAAAATTTATTGAAATTATGCTTTGAGGGAGATTATCAACCAACTTTCTACCCTTTTTTAAAATGGAAGAAGCACTGTCCCAACAAAATTTTCGAATAGCCCAAATTTGAAACTTCTGTATTTAGCTTGCTCCGTAAAATTGATAATCCTCTAAAATTTCAAATATTCAAACTCAAGACTGCAAAATAATGGCTAAAAAAACTCACTGTAACTTATTGTAAATTTTTTATAACAACTTTTGGACACTTTGAATGTTTGGGGAATGGTTTAGAAACTTTTTTAATTTTTTTTTTTTCACTCTTTTCCTCCCCCATCCTTACCCCTCCCCACCAAACCCCCTATCTTCTCTCTCCCACTGCTACTAGCACCACCCCTCCTTTCACTTCCCTCTCTTTTTTTTTTTTTTGGCCCTTCATCCTCCCTATTTCTCCTTTTCCTTTCTGCTTCCCTCTTCTTCGTCTTCCTCCCTTCCCCTACTACTCCCTCTCTCCTCGTCCCGTTCATCCCACCTCTCTCCCCTTCTCTGTGTTTTCTTCTTTTGTTTTTTCAAATTAATTCTAATTATCATTGTAATTAGCACACATTTTTTCAGGAAAAGGAGAAAAATAAAGACAAACAAATGAAAGATTGGATGTGAATGAAAATGAAACTTTCAAAATAAATAGAAGAAGTTGATAATGATTCTTTTTTGTTGGATGTTAATTTTTTTTTATTTGAAAACCAAAAATTGAATGGTATTTTTGTTAGTTTTGAACTCTATATATTTTTAATTTTTTTTTTACTTTAGTTCTTTACTGTATGTTTAGAAAAATACCCATGGATATTCATTGAATACTCAAACCCATTTTGGACTTATGTTTTATCCCAAATCCAACAAATAAACGATTAGTGGGATAAAACCCAAATCCAACACCCATGAGGGTTAAGAGTCTGGATTTGGATCTAACTAAATTTAATGGATTTGGATTTGAATCAAAAGATTAACTCATACCCTACCTATTGACATGTCTAACTGCAATGGCGGTGGGATGAGGTAAGGTGGAAGTGGAAATAGTTAGGGAGGGTGGTGGTTGAAAAGGGAGATGGATTGTGTTTTTGAGTATTTTGGGGTGTGTTTTTATAAAAACTTAGGGTGTTTTTATAAGTTCTTGCAGCTAAAATTAGAAAAAAAATTGTTTAAAACAAATGAGTGAAAAACATGGGTTCCAAATACACCTAATATACCGAATAAAGTATATGAAAATGTAACAAGATAAAAATCTATAAATGGTCCCTAAACATTTTCTTTTCTTTCATTTTGCTGCAAATTTGCAATCCTTAGCACTTACATCATTCCTTTTCAAGATTAATTAAAGAGCTAAAAAACTGCCAAAAAGAATTTAGTGTAGCTTTCTACGCTAATTCTCAGTAGCAAGCTAATCAAAGAGCCAAAAGTTAGGCCATATGACGGGCCTCTTAATTTTTAGGTAGGGAAAAGAAAGTAGCTCAAAATTTTGTCCTTTCTTATAAATTACTGGCCCTATCGGTATCGGACACCTTTCGTCAATCTTTTCTCACCAAACTAATTTGTCAATATACGATTTTAGGGGCAATTAAGTCTAAACAAATATACATAGCGCTACGTGAAAAGGAATAAAAAAAAAATTAAATTCGTATTTAGATATCCGAATCCAACTGCCAAAAGGATATGCTCATAATTTTACGCGCTAAGGCATCAAGAAAACAGCTGGGAAAATATAACAGGAAACACTTTTCCTACTTGAACTCGGAAACCCTTTACTTGTATAAATCCAGATCCTGAATTTCATCAGATTACCCAATCAAAAATCTAGAGCAGGGTTTCTTTTGTTCTTGACTTATCAAGATGACGAAGATGAGAGCAACTAAAAGAAGAAAATTGGTGCAAGCTCCCATTCACGATGGAGTTCTTAAAGAATGCTGGTACCCCAGAAAAGGGTTGAAGATGGAGGCTGCATCATCTTACATTCCCAAAGACAACGAGGAAAAGCCCTTAGGAGAAGATGCCTGCTTCATCTGTGAAGAAACGCAGACCATTGGGGTGGCAGATGGGGTGGGAAGTTGGGGGAAAAAAGGCATAGATGCCGGCGAATACGCGACAGAGCTGATGAATAATGCATCCTTTTCGGTTCTTGAACAGGCGGAGGAGGAGGGTTCTGTTTGTCCCTTGCAAGTGTTGCATGAAGCTTACTGGATGACTAAGGCAAAAGGGTCATCCACTGCATGCATTGTGACCCTAAAGGAAGATTTCTTGCATGCTGTGAATATCGGAGACAGTGGTTTCTTGGTGATCAAGAAAGGGAAAGTTGTGTTCCAGTCGCCCGCCATGCAGAAGCGGTTTAACTGTCCGTATCAGCTTGGAAACGAGAGGGATACTCCGGATTCGGCCCAAGAATTCAAGGTTGATGTGGAGCATGATGATGTTTTGGTGGTGGGAACTGATGGTTTGTTTGATAACTTGTTTCCTCATCAGATAGGGTCTATAGTTCATAATTGTGTGGAAGGGAAGTTGTCGCCAAAGATGATGGCTAGTCTTATAGCAGAACTTGCTTGGTATCATTCTCTTCAGAAGGATCGTTCAACTCCCTACACCAAGTCTGCCATGGAAGTGGGACTGGTTCAGGAGAATTATTTGGGAGGCAAGTATGATGATGTTACTGTAGTTGTTGCTAAGATTGTATAGAGATCTTCATGGTCGACCAACATCAAAAGGATCAGTTGTTTTGTAAGTTATCATGGGTTCATCACTTGCAGTGTTTCTTGCAGCTCTGAAGGACTAGTAATTAAACAGAGTTCTGTGATTTGTTGAGTTTTTTGTACATATGATATGTTGCTGCTGCAATTTGTTCATTTAGGTTATTTCCTTTTTCAACTTCAAAAAACAACTTCTCTTGGAGAAAGACGAAAAGGTACTGCTAAAATTTCCAAATTCCTGAAAAACCCAAATTATTTATTATTGCCATTTGCTAATAACAATCTGATTTTCCTACCAAGATCAAGCCAGTGCCATGCAGACAACATAGGCACATGAAGTGCTATGCATTGATACCTTCACTAACAGTTATAAGCAACAATAAAAGTATATAAAGAGCATGCTTTGGAGTTGAATTGAATACATTGATTCTGCACAAAACTTTACATTCAACGAAAGATTAGTTAGTTCCTCATCAAGATTAAAGCTTCCAAAATTAATGCAATGGGGCTGGATAAACGACTCGGTTCCTTGCCATTGCTGAGAACATTGGGGTACTGTATGCCAAATTAATCAATCGAATGGTACCAAGTAGCATTTAAATCCGAAAAGGGGTCTCTTGATCATTGGGGAATTGAAGTGCCAATTTTATCTACATGCAAAGACTGCTTCAAAGCAAAGGCGCCAGTATATTTTGTAAGGCAGAGCCATCCATGGCAATCTTGAAGGATAAGTAGTCCCTGGAGCAGATAGAATTCTGCAGCAAAACAGCAGGACCAATGGAGGATAAGTAAGCAACACGGACCAAAATTTGCAGCCAAAATAACATACAAGGGCAACTGCATTAGGAACCAGGACAAAAAGTGCTGAAAAGTGGAGAGTGTATATTGATGACAAAAATAAGTAACAGCATAAGCAGCCTACCTTTTTCCTGTTAGAATACCATACGCTGACGAGCTGATAGCTGTCCTAGAAACAACTGAATAGATGTATCTGTAGCTTGGGCAGATCAATTCACCTGTGAATTAATAAAGAACCATATCAGAAATATCAAAGCCAATGATACATAGAATAGTTACTCAACAGGTTTCAAAATGAATTGCCAAGATAAATACAACACTGGCCCCAATCTCCAATAACAGTGCAAGAAAGGTTAACCAAATTAAATTTTTGAGTGTTAAAACTCGCATACAATAATCCAACATACAACAGTATTAGAGTACAATGGTTGCCTTTTCAGCAGCTAAACTGGAATAATGAGAAACACACAAATGTGAACAACTAGGACATACCTAAGCTCAAGTAGTTGCTGTGCAGAACTGAAACCAGAACAAGTGTTTTACGACCACCACTTCTTGGGATTTTTGGTGACTTCTTCGACAACGAGCCGTTTAGTTCAAGGGGATCAATTACTGAAGGAACAGTTGTTCCATGTTGACGACATACAATTTCTAGCCATATCCCAGAAGGAAACCTTTTCTTCCGCATCAACCAAAGAAAGGCGCTGTTATATGGGGTAGTATGAATAACAGATATGCTGACCTCCATTACTACACAGATAAAACTGATGACTGTGTTCATGATGGTAAAGAATGTGTAGAAGACAGAGGTGGTTGGCAATAGAAGTAAGAGTGGTGTAAAGAGAAGAGAGCCAACGACATGTTGCTCCACAGTGTAATCATAGCTATCTAATCTCTGGCGAAGAGGATTCCACTTCCTTCCCCTGCATTCAGTTCAACCGAGTGAGAAAATTTCAAAAAAGAAAATAATAACAATAATAATAATACTCCCTCCGTCCCAAATTTAAAGTCGTTTCTTGGGACTGCAACTTTTTATGTACAGTGGACAATTATTGGCAACCGATGCTTTACTTCCAAATTTACCCTGCTGGAATTGCATTAGTCAACTAAAGTTTGTGTTTTTCAAAGAGTCATAATTCTGTGGGGCCCACCTCAATCAAATGCATCTCTTCATACGTTAAGGACACGCATCAATAGTGGCCTTATAAACTGGGAGTTATCCTGCACACTCTTCGAACTTCTCTAAATGGGAATAAATGGTGGGTCCTATTAAATTTCTTGGGACTATTTTACATGTGCACAACAAGGGTAAGAATGGAACTCTGGAAGGGAAAAATTTTAGCATGACTCTAATTTTGGGACAATGAAAAAGGTGAAACATGACATTAACAATGGGACGGAGGGAGTAATAATTAAGTACACACAATTTTCTGCAAGTCTTAGCATTCAGTACATGACAGGTGAAGCAGATAATATTTCAATGACACAATTTGTACTACTTACAAGAAAACAACTGCAATTAATATACATTTATTGGGTGAATTTATTTAACATCCAGATACACGAGTTAGCAGGTTGGTGGAGTTTTTAACAACGCTATATGCATTTGAATAGGTTCGATTAACTTAAGCATAGATAATCCTATCTAATTAAAAATGACAAAGGGAGCCAAAAGTCAACTTCATAAACAAGTAGTTGCATCACTTCCTTTCTGCATCTGAGTGATTCCTACAGCTCCAAAGCATTTTATTTCAGCAACAGGCTAGGTTCAGAAAACATCCATTCCATTTATCTCACATTGAATGTCAGTTGGCTGCTCTAACAAGTTTATTTGCAAAGAACATTGGATGGCAGGTAAACTAAGCACTGTTGTTTAATCAAAAACTTTCATTAGACATATATTAACAACAAATAAGGATTATATCCCTAGTCAATGTTGCACACCTGGATCAGTTATAGATTTATGAAAACAGAGGGAGGGAAAGGTTCACAAACATAAATACTTTCAGGTGTGAATTTTAATGCATCCAAGTAGTCATACTCCTACCTAGTGTTTGAACTGTTTTAAAGGGAACAAAGAAAGAAATTCAAAGGTTGGTAAAGGTATTCAGCAGGCACAGGGTGGTCACTAATCAAAAAATAAACTTTCCAAGGTAGAAAAGTAATTGATTTCCAATACACAGTCATCATTATAAACAAAACTCACTCTCTTAATTCAAATATGTTCAAAACTATCACACAAGTTCATTTACATGCACAGCATAATGATCTGGGAATTTTTAGAAATAACTTAGTAGTTGCTGATTTAAGCATTTAATCAATAAGCAATGAAACTTGAATTAACATGTTACCCAAAAAGATTATTTTCCCCAGCTATAACAGAGGCTTCATATAGAAGAATTTTGTAAAAGGCCAGTCTCGGTACACTGGAATTCTTTTGTCTAAAGAAGGGGCTAACATAACCTCTATAATTACTCTCTCTGCTCCATGATTTAGAAACTTATAGTTTTTTATTTTGCAAAACAAATCACAGGACAATGATATTAAGAAACACAAAAGTTCAAATGTGCAACACCTGAGTAAATTCCTGCCTTTACAGAAGCTTAAAAGAAAAGATAGTATCTTTCAATTTAAGAATTTTCTGTAGCTTCCAAAAGTGCTCTCCCTTATCTGTAAACCAAAATTGACAACTACTGAGTCTATACTTAAGGACAGTAACCATCTAATTACACAGTAGAACTCCATAAGTATTACCTAAAAAGACGCCATAAAGCTGCCAATGCCTGAATCTGCTGTGAATAGACAAGTGAGAGTATCCAATGAAGGACGAAAACATGTCTTGTTACGAGTGAAATCAAGTCGATTATCAGAGCAGCAGCTGTGGTGAAACCAAAAAGAATCCCACATAGAGAAATAGCTTTAGCAATTGGTACAAGGAAAAAATCCATAAACGACCCAAGTGTAGACCAAATTTGAATCGTGTTCAGAGATATCATGCCAAGTACTCCAGCAAGCTCAGTGTTTAATTTGAAACCAGCTGGATTTCCCATTAGCCAAACACATCCGGTACGCAGCAAATAGTTTGTGACATCAACAGCAAAGTTTGAAATGAATAGGCAAGCAGGTTCTGCTTGATACCATAATGAAATGCCAAATAAGTTTCCAAGAAGAACATCAACCACTAGACATGACCAGATGGAATGCCTGCGTAATGCCACTTTCTCTGAATATTCAATGCATGATTCAGACCTGTAATAAATCCAAATAATGAGGTGATAATGGATCTCTCAAAATTGATACTGACACCTAATGATGTCAAACATAAAATAAATCACAAAGACTATTTTGTCGACTGTGCAATTGCCCAGAACAAAGAATTATTTTATGAGTTCTTTATAGGAACAATTGTTATAGTTGTACAACCTCAAGCAAATCATCGACATTCTTTGTAACTTGATCAGGCAAATTTTAAACTTGAAATTCAAACATGAGAAAAATAAAGAATAAATTTTAGTTTAGCAAGAGGCTGAAGCCTTAATGAATTTACATTTTTTAATACTGCGTAAAACGTGTTACAATAACAATTCGAGAATAAAGCTATTAAGGAAACACAATATTCTTACTACCTATGACCATGACCTCGGAGTAAGATTGGCCAATAGAGGAACTGGGAGCAGCGTATGCCAATATTCGTCCATGTATTGTTGAATGCTCTCACTAACACCACATCTATGCCTATACATGACATGTAACTCAGAAGGATATGGAAAGACTGAAGGATGACGTAAACCGAAGTTGCAAGCAAAGCCACAAGTGCAGCAAAAAATTTCCATGTAAAGGTAGGAAACCTGAAAAGTTATTTAATAGCTGTTATGACCAGCTAAGAAACAAAAGCATCAATGGAACTAGGAAAAATCAATATATAGAAGACATTACATCCATAAAGGCTTGAAATGACCAGCGCAACTCTTCACAGGCAGCTGCCTTTCTGAAAGGATCTTAGCAGCATGAGCACTGTTAATAGCCAGAATGACAGTGTCCTGTATCAACAAAGGAGCAAATATTACTGAAGGAAATATAATTAGACAGTATAACTGCTTTCGAGATGTATCAACTTCAACACTGATATTACCAGATCAAGATATTGCTTCTTCTGCTTGAGATCTTCAAACCATTGGGGTTTCTTGATAGAAGATCTCATCTTCTCAGACAAACTCCGAGAACCCAGTGAATAGTGGTGGCTACTAAATTTTGGAATTTCATAAATGATAACCTAATATGCAGCACAACAATGAAGAGATTAGGTACTACAAAAACTAAGCAGAGAGAGGAAAAATACAGAGATAAACTTCAAGTGACCATGACTTACATACGTGGAGATCTAACTGAGAAATGGTTTCCCCATTCCAATGCAGGTGATGCAATTCTGGAATGAGCTGCAATTTTCGACCTGTAGTTTGAGGAAAACCAGAAATAAGTTGGAACCAGTTCTCATTTTGTACAAAAGCCAGCCTAAGCTGTTCCAGTAATGCATGAACCTTGTGGCATCCACATGCATGAATTCCATTCTTGCCCACAACTACACTCTGGCTACCAGGGAAGGTTTTCCCACCATCAGTTGAGCACGTCTGAGTAACTGTTTTAGTTAAATTCATTTCTGGCTGACCATTGCCACTTGAATCTGCTTCACAATAACCCAGCACGGAAAGTGTACATTTATCTTGTAGAGATAGAGGCATGTTCCCATCTGTTTGATGAAGAATTTCCTAAGTTACGAAAGCAGGGTCAGTTATAATAGCTTGTCATTTCAAAAATGTATATCCTAGACAACCAATATATGAAATAAACCCTATTCACAAGTTTAATTGAACAGGATTTATGCAACAAAAGTGCCAGTACAGAAGTAATACGATCACACATCAGCCTCTCGCTAAATCTTTAGAATGACATGATTTGGCAAACTATAGTCAGCAGAAAAAGAGTCCAGTTTATGTGTTTAACCCTTCTGCTAAGTTAGTAAAGAAATCAGGAAATCTCACTGAAATTTCAACAAAGCCAACCATATAAAAATCTTCATTGGAGAATTAATACTGAAACAGACTATTATCAGGGAAAGCTGCATTTCTAGTCTGCACAAATTAACAAGAGGCTGATTTGAAAGTTTAGAAACTGGGAAATTGGCAAGCAAAATTGTCCATCCACAACTTCTTCCCAAGAAGATGTTGAGGCAGGCTCAGAGTAAGTCTTCTTTGTTAAGACAATGCAGAAAAGACCAACCCCCTCAATCAAGAGGTTTAGAATACAGTTGCAAAACTGCAATATCAGTTAAGTGTTTGTCTAATTAGCAACCATCAATCTGTTAACAGTACCAATGTAGGCATTTCTTCACGAAAGATTCTTACAACCACTATCATCAGAGATGCAGTTCAAACAGAATAACCTAATAAATTACCACAAAAATATTCACAATTTCCGCTTATTCTCACCATGCCCCTCCCATCCCCCGTATACAATAAAAAAATCTTAATATGTCCCAAATAATGGATTCTTAATAAGAACAAATGAATTTATGAAGTTTAAACTAATTGAAGGAAGCAACATATTAAGACTAATAGTCACTGAGTAACTGACAACAAGAATGGACATCCTTCTAACATCAAGATCTTCCTCACAAATCAATAACAATTATATGCCACAAATAATGCCACAGATCTTCCTCAATTATATGCCACAAATTTCAATTAATGACCGTTCCGGCCATGCAATTATTACCCAAACAACAACTGACTACTGGTTGACGACGGACTACAGGCTGGAACTATCCAGATTAAAACTCAACTTACATAGCCAAAACTGATATGATCAAAACAACCTTAACTGAAAAACACTAATAATCATCAGTAAATACAGAAAAAAATATACAAAGCGCAAAACCCACGACTCACAGCGATAATCAACTCTCCAGTAGATAAAGAAACAAAAAATTGGAAAGATTATTCTGGGGTACATTTGTACATACTGCGAATCCCAACTAATTAAAACAATAAACAAAATAGAACCCATTTCTAATCATCCATAAACATAGCTAAGTCAGCTAAGAAAACAGCATAAATCAGTGATAAAAATCAATCTTGATTTTTAGAGCAGTCCGAAATGTTTCTGAACTAATTAACTAATTACCTGAAGATTTACAGAAGAAGAAACAAGTGCAGAATCCTCCAAGCCAAAAGCGACGACGATATCGAGGGAGGGCTCCGAAGAAGAAAAGGAGGAGGACTGGGAAGAAATGAACCAACCGAAGAAAAGAGTGAAGGAGTGGGAAGGAGAATGGGGTTGAAGGGTTGAGGAAAGATGGGCTGGCCACCATAGCCTGCATTTCCCTCCTTTTTTCCCCATAAATCTAATTAACACAGACACATTTTCTCTGAAACAAGAAATTTTTTGGCCATTTTGGGAAGGAATGTTGGTTGAATTGGGTGAACAAAATGTGGCAAAATCAACTTCCGTGAGGGTTTAAGAACGTAGGCGGAGATGCAGAGGAAGTAGTGCAGCGTTTCTTCTCTTCTTTACTCTATTTTTTTTTTTTGCTTTTTTCTTGTCCCTTTTTCTTTTTTGGTTCGGGTTCTCTCTCCCTTTTTTTTAGTTTTCTTTTTTTTTTTTTTAAGTTGAGAGAAAGGGTGTAAATATATGAGTGAATGGTCGAAATGGTCACTTAACTATTTAAAATGGCACCCTTTGGTCATCAAACTTTTTTTGTAGCCAAAAAAGTCACTAAACTCACGTAAACGCACCAGCGAAGTCATTTTACCGAATTTTAGCGGTGAATCATCCGGTTACAAGGGTCTTGAGTTGAATAAATATTCTGATATGGGCAAAAATGTCCAAAAGATTATTGGGGCAAGTGAACTCACAGATTGTTTCATTCCCAAAGTTGACCAATCGATCGACATTCACTTCATCTTTTCCGGTGAAGTTTACTAGCTGGGAACACTTCACTTTTCAATTTGACCCAGCGTAGAAGTTTACTGGTTGTGACCGAAATTCACTCTCCTCTCTGTCTCGTCACTTCCGACCTCCCTACTATCCCTATCCGCCCCACCACTAACCCCGACCCAACATCCAACTCCGATGACGATGACCCTTTGAGCCCATAGGTTTCATCACTGCTTTCTCAATTTGGTCTCTCGAGCCATACCCATTATTTGCTCAGTCTTCGATTTCCTTCGCCAGCCACCTAGCTGAGTTGGAAAGAGTCTTGGCAGTTCCAATGACTACACCCAGCCAAAAAAAAAAAAATGTTTACCCAGAAAAATGTTTTTTTTCTTTTACAGAAAAAGAAAAGAACAGAATGATACTTTTTTTTTGTATTTCCGCAGCCGTGTGCTCCCATCCGTCACCAGTGGGTTGCCGAGGGCAGCCGTTGAAGGGAGTGCTGTGCTATCCCATTCTTCGAGAAAAGAAAAGGAATAAAGCCTTCTGCTAGTCAGCGAGCCAGTTACACGGCATACGGGTTTTCTTCTTTTATTTGTGTTGATCTGAGCACCGCCCTAGCGAACTATTGGGCTGAGGGACCCAGCCCAGACAACTTTGGAGTATAGCCTGACTGCCTGAGTCACTTCCAATAGCTTCAGTCAAGCTCTTAAAATACAAGAAATCTCAATTTGATTTCAAAGCAGCAGATTTTACTGATTCACTTCCTGTCCTCATCCCCATCCCCCTCTCTTCATGCTCAACGATAATACTCTTAAATTATTGCCACCGCCTTTAATCATTCCCTGTTTCTCATTTTAAATTACAGTCTCTATTTTTACCGCCGGAGAAGACGAAGTCAATATATGGGTTCAAAAGTGGTTTGGGAATGAGACAATCTATGGCTTCACCTATTCCAATAACCTTTCAGACATTTTTGCCCCTTGACTATATTCCTCCATTCCACGTTGCCCATGCCACCGGATGAGAAACCGCTGAAATTCGGTAAAATGGCTCCGCTGGAGAGTTTTTGCGAGTTTAGTGACCTTTTCGGCCACAAAAAAAGTTTGGTGATCAAAGGGTGCCATTTTTAATAGTTTAGTGATCTTTTGGGCCATTCACTCTAAATATATTGATTGAAAGGAAAAAGAGAAATTAGATGGGTTAAACCTTGTTTCAATTTGAATAATTAATAACCATTGATTTGAGATGCTTTACAAACCCCTAATTCCTTTTTTTTAGAAAAAAATTATGAATTTTTCCCTTAGAAAAAATTCCTAAGGGAATAAGTACTTAAACCACTTTGAATTTATAGTTTAGCCCTCAAAAGACAAATTAATATCCTTTTGAATTTCATTCTCCAACAAATTGTATTATTATGACATTTGAGGCTCTCAAAAATCAAATACTTTTGACCTTTTAGAAGTCAAACTAAAGGAACCAATAATACAATATATGAATTGAAAGGGAAATATTATTATAGATTGAGGGACACTAAGAGAATTTCCATATGGGCTTTTTAAATGTTTCTAAGGTCTAAAAATTGGTTTTTTTTTTTTTTTTGCCTTCTGACAAAGAATTTCCAAAGGAGCAATTGATATTTTTGGGGGGTTAATCTTTATGAATAAAAATATAAGGTAAATCAATAGTGAATCTTGCCATATTGAAGTGTGAATCTAAAATATAAAATATTTTAAGTATATGACTAGACTAATGTGCTACCAATACCATGGTGTGAAAACCATTTTTTTTCACTTTTACAAAATTCTATGAAGTTCCTTATCATTAGGAGGTCATGAATATGATTAATCTTTAAAATATAAAAACTGCATAAGCAAGTTCTTTAGTTTAGCTTTACCAAATCTTCAATTACCAGAGAACAGGATTAAACTGAGTTGTCATTTATGGTCAAATGCAGCAATAGAGACTAGTTTTGCTAAATTAATTCACGAAAATCAGAGAGAATTAGGTGTTGCAAATTTGCAATTAAAATAACAGGCGACGGAAGTGGGATAGATATGTGGCATATTGGTAATTTTACACGGGAACTTATACTTACCAATCTAATATCATGCGGACCAAATCTTCATATAATGCTTGTACCGTGTGCATTGGCAAATGTACCATTTCAAAAAGAACAATCATTTGAGAGAAAATGTACAATCTTTTACTCACATTGATTTAGTCCCTTACTTTTATTTCTAACTAATTTGATACTTGAACTTGTTTTGCAAATCTATTTAAGGACCTCTATGATGGCATCACTATTTAAAACCAATCTAAATTCTAATTGACTAACTAAGTAGAGATATTATAAGAACATCACTCATAAAAACTATAATAAAAAAAAGTAAATAGTGTAAAAAATTATCGGGTAAAACTTTTAAATCATGTAAAAAATTACTAAGTGAAACTTTTTAAAAATTTAATATTATGATTTTTTACGCGATTTACTTGATTTATTACTGTTTCATTAATGATGTTTTCAAAATTCTCCTATTTAATTGATCAATTTCAATTTAGATTGATTTTAGGTGGTGGTGCTGTCGCAGAAGTCTTACATTAGAGCTGCAAAATAAAGTCACATATCAAATTGGCTAAAAATAAAACTTAGGAATTAAATCCATACTAATGAAAAGATTTGGGGACGAAATTGACCATTTATTCATCATTTCAAGCTTTGGTCAGCCGTGGCTATGCAAATTATCCTGGCAATAAAATATTGCAGTCGGATTAGATATGCAGATTGCATAATCATTTTTTCGGAGGGGAAAAAAAAGGAACCCGAGTTCCGCATTACTATGCCTAAAAAAGATTTTAATAACAAAGCAGAAGGAAAAAGAAAAAGCAAAAAAGGGTCCAGACTCCAGCATCTCAGGGGTTTAGCGGAAGAAATCTCTTCTGGGCTAGAAGAAAGCAAAGCACTGAACAAAAATGGCAGCAGTTTTGCCATATGCACCACCTCTATATTCAGCTGTTTGTAATTTCAACGTTAAATTGTATGTAAAGAACTCTATTTGTTCAAATGGTTTTGCAAGGCCTCGATTTGTCACAGGTATGTGATTTCTTGTCTACTTCTTTCTTTTACATTCTGCTTAAATTACTGTAGTTTGTACGTATTAGCCAAAACCCACTTGGAAAAATAATTTCTTTACAGGTCTGAGTAAGAAAAGCAGCAGGAGTAGTTGTGAAATTAGGTGTAGTCAATCGACAACAATCAAGAAAACACAGAAAGATAGTGGAAAAGGTCATAGGAAAGGTGAAGGGAGGTTGATTTTGAGTGAAGGAAGAGATCAGGATGAGAGTTATGAGCCTATTTGCCCTGGTTGTGGAGTTTTCATGCAAGATAAGGACCCTAATCTTCCTGGTTTTTATAAGAAAAAGAAGGTGGAACTTAGTGAGGTCATAGGGGATGAGGATGAGGAGGATTCGGGGGGTTTAATGGATGATGAATTTGATGATTTTGACGAGGAGGATGAGGAATTTGAGGATGGCATTGAAGGGCAATTAGAAGGGAGTGATGATGGGGTTGAAGGAAGATTTCAGGGTGCAGATGGGGTTGATTGGGATTTGGAAGAGTTGGAAAACGAATTTGAGAAAGAAGATGATGAGTTAAAGGAGTTGGATGGGTTTGGTCCAGCTGGTGTTGGTTATGGTAACATTACGGAAGAGGTTGTGGAGAAGGGGAAGAAGATAAAGTTGTCGAAAGCAGAGAGAAAAAGGATGAATAGGGAAGCTCGGAAGGACAAAGAGGAGGTGACAGTATGTGCTCGATGTCATTCTTTAAGGAATTATGGGCAGGTTAAGAATCAAGTAGCTGAGAATTTGATACCGGATTTTGATTTTGATAGGTTGGTAACTACCAGGTTAATAAAGCCCACAGGCGTTGCTGATGCTACGGTTGTGGTTATGGTGGTTGATTGTGTTGATTTTGATGGTTCATTTCCTAAGCGAGCAGCAAAGTCTTTGTTCAAGGCTCTGGAAGGAAGCAGAGATGGTTTCAAGTCTAACAAGAAGCTTGTTTTGGTGGCTACGAAGGTTGATCTTCTTCCATCGCAGATTTCCCCAGCAAGGTTAGATAGATGGGTCCGTCACCGTGCCAAGGCAAATGGAGCACCTAAGCTGAGTGGGGTTTATCTAGTTAGTGCTCGTAAGGACCTGGGAGTGAGGAATTTGCTGGCATTTATTAAGGAGTTGGCTGGACCAAGAGGGAACGTCTGGGTAATTGGAGCTCAGAATGCTGGGAAGTCGACATTGATTAATTCATTTGCTAGAAAAGGAGGAGTAAAAGTTACAAAGCTTACTGAAGCTGCTGTTCCTGGGACAACACTGGGGATATTGAGGATTGGGGGAATATTATCTGCCAAAGCAAAAATGTATGATACACCAGGCCTGCTACATCCATATCTCATGTCCATGAGATTAAACAGGGAGGAGCAAAAAATGGTTGAGATACGGAAGGAGCTTCAACCTCGAAGCTATAGGATCAAGGCAGGGCATTACTCTTATTTGCATGCCAAAGCTTATAAAAAAATTCTGTCTGTTTCAGTACAAACACGCGTCAAGGAGGTTCTTAGATGTTAGAGTTATGGATAGAAACCCTCATCCTTATTCCAATACTTAGATGCAGTTGATTAGTTCTGGCACATTGGCATAAATAGGGGTTTTTGAGGCCACTAAATTAATTGAATACTTTTTTCTATTGAAAACGTAATGGGAAACTGATGATTAATGTAAGACAAAGCAGTAGGTGAGGTCTTGCCACTATTCCTCTTTGACATGATCTAATCTGATTTTGTTTGATAGTTGCTGAGAATTTGGTCTTGAGGATGGAGTAATGTTGAGGTTTTATATGTCCATGAGATCCAAAAGAACTCACTTTTTGTTCTTCCACCCAATAAAGCATCTTCTCTTACTGGCTCTAATTGAATGATGGCTAGAAAAGTTGCTTTAGTAGTCCAAGCTGGGGAAGAGAGTAATATAAATAGTTATAGTTGCAATACATAAGTTCATAATTCCGTTACATCCATGGATTAATTCTTTTCTCTGTTGTTTCAGTTTGATTCTTCCAACTTTTGGTGGCAGACGCCATGTGTGTATATTATTGTTTATCTTGAACTGTAGATAGTTTTTTCTCTTTTTTTTTCCCCTAGCGAGCATTTTGCCTTTGTTATGCAAATACATTTGAGTATTGCTATGTGGAAATGCCAGACCGTAGATGTCGGTTTATTTTCAAGATTGTTTTCTCTTTGGAGAAACAATTTTTTGTTGGCTTTAATGGAATTTGTTAATATTCCAGGCAGGTCAGACTGTACATGTTGGTGCCTTAGCAAGACTAGATCTTATCCAGTCTTCTGTAGAGACAATCTATGTCACTGTCTGGGCATCTGCAAATGTTTCTCTCCATTTAGGAAAGACGGAAAATGCTGATGAGATCAAGATCAAGCATGGGGGAGTCAGGCTACAGGTAATGCACCAACTTATATACACCATCTTTATCACATTTGTTGCTGTGAAGGCTCCTTAACTACAGAACTCATGAATATTATAAATTTAGCCTGAATCAAGTTTTGGTATAATTCCTCCTTTTGGGTTATTGGCC